GGTAAGTCAAGAGGGGAAGGAATGTGGTCTATGGATGGAGAGGATAGGATGGAGATGTGGTCAGGGGCAGATGTAAGCAGAAGGAGCAGAATGTGGTCCATGGAGAGCAGGGCAGAATGTGGTCAATGGAGATGGGGGTAAGCAGAAGGGGCAGAATGTGGTCAATGGAGATGGGCAGAGTGTGGTCAATGGAGATGGGGTAAGCAGAAGGGCAGGATGTGGTCCAGGAGATGGATAAGGGCAGGGCATGTGGTCCAGGGATATGGGGCAGGATGTGGTCCAGGAAGGGCAAGGGCATGTGGTCTATGGAGATGGGGTAGGATGTGGTCCAGGGAGATGGGATAAGCAGAAGGGCAGAATGTGGTCCATGGAGATGGGGTAAGCAGAAGGGCAGGATGTGGTCCAGGGATATGGGCAGAATGTGGTCCAGGGATATGGGGTGAGCAGAAGGGCAGAATGTGGTCTATGGAGACGGGGTAGGATGTGGTCCAGGGAGATAGGGTAAGCAGAAGGGCAGAATGTGGTCTATGGAGATGGGGTAAGCAAAAGGGCAGGATGTGGTCCAGGGATATGGGCAGGATGTGGTCCAGGGATATTGGGTAAGCAGAAGGGCAGAGCGTGGTCAATGGAGATGGGCAGAGTGTGGTCCAGGGAGATGGGGTAAGCAGAAGGGCAGAATGTGGTCTATGGAGATGGGGTAAGCAAAAGGGCAGGATGTGGTCCAGGGATATGGGCAGGATGTGGTCCAGGGATATGGGCAGGATGTGGTCCAGGGATATTGGGTAAGCGGAAGGGCAGAATGTGGTCTATGGAGATGGGGTAGGATGTGGTCCAGGGAGATGGGATAAGCAGAAGGGCAGAATGTGGTCTATGGAGATGGGCAGGATATGGTCCAGGGAGATGGGGTAAGCAGAAGGGCAGAATGTGGTCCAGGGATATGGGCAGGATGTGGTCCAGGGATATGGGGGTAAGCAGAAGGGCAGAATGTGGTCCAGGGAGATGGACAGGATGTGGTCTATGGAGACGGGGTAGGATGTGGTCCATGGAAATGGGGTAAGCAGAAGGGCAGAATGTGGTCCATGGAGATGGGCAGGATGTGGTGGGACAGGTAATGGGGCCAGAAGTGGCGTTCAAAGAGATGGATGAAAGTAAATGATATTTTAAAAGTTTTTGAGGACATTTAATCCAAATCAGTTATTTCGGGAAGGGGAACATCTTATCGGAGCAGAAAGAAAACATCAACAGCAGTTTTAGAATTTTTACAAAACTAAGCATATCAGGTACCTTGAGAAGGATTTATGTTTAAACAAAGAACATAATTGACACTGCACTGTTGCCCGTTTCAGTAGACATGATAACATAAGCACATAGTGTTCTGCTTAACAAACACTAATGTTGTACACTTTCAAACTTGTCACATTCCTAATATGTGAACAATCACACAAACTTCCAACTGACATGCACAGTAAAATACAGGCAAGATTATATGTCATAAAATCTGATATGAAGGCAATTATGATATTCAAATCAACTTTGATATCAAAAGACATATTCACAGGTATTAATCATAAATATGAATTAATCATTATTAATCCTGAAAGTAAAAACTTTACTGTTCTAAATTATTCCAAAAGATATATGATATGAGTTGAAACATAAAATGAATATTTAGTGTCAAAAAGTACTCACATAATGTTATACCATGACTATTGGCATTGTGATACTTTTTGCATAATTAAATTAAACGTTTGGAATATTAAAAGATAATTATACTTCAGCAAATCAAAAACATGAATAATGATGAATAGCATGAATTTTCTATGTATTGTGATGCATTTCTTTACTAGTCTCATGATACTCTCTACTACCTTATAACACCCCAGATGGTCCCATCATAAAATAAGCTATCTCTTACATCATTTCAGAGGAAGTATTTACTTTCAACAATTACTATACATCTTATAAGTTTAACAATGTTCATAAGGATACTTTCTGTCATCATTATCATAAATATTCATGGCAATTAATCTGAAGTTACAAAATACATATTTGAGTATAATTACAAAGCAAATATAAACCAAATTTGTCAAATAGTTTGAATTATATACAGAGAGGATGGCTAGTTCTTTCCTGTACCTATGATGCCTATCCACTAACTTCAAGGTCAAGGCCTGTACATCATCCAAAGACTAGCCACGTAGCTTACAACATGAAAATCTATAACTTTGCCAGCTTCTGAAGCTTCACTTTACTTGCTTACACATATTACTTTCATAATCTCCTTCTTTGCATTGAGGTAGAAGCAAAAGTATTAATTCTGTACGATAAACTCTGAAATGAAACCGAAACTGACTTTGACAATGAATGATGCCTTAATTGACTTGAAGATTCATAGAAAATACTAGAAATATATAAGTATTGACATGAATTCCCAACCATGGAAGCCTTATAGAATTATTCTATGCCCAATTTATTAGTAGCAGGCACACTGTTAACACACAAGATTGTTATAGAAAAGTTCTACTGTCTTGTTAGTTCTACTACTGTCAAGTATCTTCAATTCTTGAAAAGCAGCGTAAATACTTTGTGTATGACCTAGCACTAAGCTGTTTTTGCTAGTGAATTCCACCTAGATGTCATGTTACTGTAAATTTCAACAGTTTGCTAATGCCAAAGTAATATATCCATTTATCTCAATGCTGACAGCTGTTTACCCTCATGTCAATAGCAGAATTTACATGAGAATTATATCCAATCCTTCGTCATCTGCTTTTCAAACATAATCAATCCATGAAAAGGAATTCTATACAAATCAGAATTGAATGTATTCAGAGAATTGTACTTATGAAAGCTAGCAAGAGTTGAAGTACAGGCACATGAGTGGTATGAACATGCATGGTATTTATATTAAATAAATCAGATTTAGCGTATTTGCATTACAGAGTATGCATCACAAAGTTGTTATCTATCAAGCAGTTCAGAAAGTGGAATGAATTAGTTTTGAATAAAACATTTAAAGCAGATAGGTTTGAATAATATTATGTCCAATATTGTATAAAGTGATAGAAAACCAGATCAACTTTCACAATCAAAACCAGGCCATTTTTCTCTTAAATTACAGAATAATACATTATTCATTCTTGATACTATCATAAATCAAAACTACTGCCACATTTGAAATTGGAAATGCTTCTAGATGATGGATTTTCGGTGAAATATAACCATGATTTTAAACACCAGAAATATAAAAAAAAACTTGGAAGTAAGAAAAAAAACCAACTTATTACAAACATATTTATATTTCATGAACACATTTGTTCTTCCACAATTATCAACAAAAGGTGGCAGTAAAATAAATAACCTGTTAAAACATGAAGATGTTGAACAGTGTACCCAAGTTTACATAACAACTGTTGCTTTTTCAATAACTTCACAAAACATAAGCACCTTTCAACTATACATTAGGACATTACAGACTCTTGCTGTACGTTGGAAACCGTTCAAGGATTATATCTTTGTGGCAAGTTTTTTTAAACAAGTTGGATATGAACCTGTCATTAAAAATGAAAAATAACTGTGATCACATACAAAGTTCGACTCAAGTTACTAAGTTCTATACAGACCAAAGAAAATTGTTAAACCCCTTCAACTCAACAATAAGAACCAGGGACCATGAACAAAAAGTAATTTGAGAAAGGTTAATCTAATTTATATATATTTTTATGTCACTGTGACCTCAGTATTGTTACTTGCAAAAACACTTAAGTCATATGATCCCATGTGTTTCACAATGACAGAAAATGATACGTATCCAATATCATAATCTCATTGCAATTGCTTGAGACTGGGAGATTGATTATAAAACCATTCAAGTCATACTCAAATGAATAACAGTATGCTTCATAGATTATTAATCAATTTGCACACAGTAATAAGTTTTAATAATACGTTAGAGGCAATATCAAGGTAACCTATCTTTACCCTTCATGTTCAAGTCAAAGGATTTTAAGCTGACATCACGAATCAATTCTAAAAGGAGTAATCAGATACCAAAATCATTGTCAAAAATACTTTTTGCATTTGTTTTCAAGAAGTTTGAAGATAAGATTAAAAAAAGCCTTGATATAAATTTCTTCTGCTTAATAAATAATTCATTCCTTCTATCAATGACAGCTGAATAGGTGTTCAGTTAATGAGATTTATTGCAACAGTTTCAGTCTGAGCATCTTGAATTAGTAGAAGTCGGAGAAGGTGAAGAGGTTTCACGGTATGTTACTCTTCAATATCACACTAACAATTTCATTTATAAGGGCTGTTGTTACCGAATCATTTTTTTCAGTTTCACAAAATATGTGTTTTGAACTTGAAATGACTTCACCACGTGCAAAAACTGACAAAGAGAAAGAGAGCATGAATATTTATCATTGTTTGATTTCTGTTGTGCCAAAAGATTATAGCCTAGAAAATTATATTTCTGCTGCAGCTACAGCTTCAGCTTATCCTACAAACATGTCTTGCAAAGTTCCATGAAAGTAGAAGCTTCCACACCATGTACTATGACCAGGATAAATCCATTGCCTGGATCTGTACATCATTAGGGCACACAAAACAACTATTTTAACAGTTGCAGCACTATTCTACAGACCTAGGCCCAAGGCCAGTCGGTATGTATTTTCAGCTAGCCTAGTGCTATTCTGATGCTCATTGTACTTATTACTTAGATGTTATGGAAAATAAACATAAGTACTTCTACCTTCATGAAAGAAATATTTCCCCCACATTTGTGTGACTAATCCTAAGTTCGCTGTCTTGGGGCTTGTAGAGACAGGGACTGAAGATACAGTTTTTTGTGATGACAGCCATTTCTGAGCTTGAACTAATTATTTCTATTTAGCAAACATATTTCCCATGGAACTGGAAGTAAATATGCAACGTCCACTCTGTGCGTGCGTGCGTGCGAGCGAGGTCAGGTTGTTCTGAGATATGACTATCAACATTACCTTCCTGCCATTTCTCTTTGTCTTTTTAGTCTTTTTCTCTCCACTTTTTCTATGTCGACCTTTGGTGGCAAACTCTGATACCACATCCGACTGTGTTGAGTCTGCCACCATTTTGGCTGCACTCATTTTTATTGCTCAGAAGGTTCAGCCTCTTGTCATCTGAAAAAGAAGGTCAATGGTCAGAGAAACTCAGGAAATTTGCAATCGGCGATCATCCTTCCTCACCAGTCTAACCAATGAAACATAAGTGGCAGTCATACTTCACAGTTGATACAAAATAGGAAAACATTAAACTGTCAATCCTATTTTGTCAATGGTCTATTACAGGAAATAAATGGAATAAATCATTCTTTATTGATCTATTCAAGAACATCCCTAAGTTTCCATCTTCCATCCTCTGAGGAGGCATAAGAGATTGTGAAGGGCTATAACAATTAGTTGCCAGTCTCATCTGTTCGTGGGTTCGAATCCCAGATTTGGCCTATTTATGATGCTTGGTGTGTCAGCTCCTGACCATAATTGTGATTCTCACTGATGTAGTGAACATATATCACATTAGGCCTGACTGTGATATGAGTGATATGCAATAAAACGCAAATAAAACCCCAAGCAACTTGATTACACCCTCATCACTGGAAGAAAAGAAGGAACACACAATTGTCAATCCTCCATCCTAAGTATAATGTATTGGTAATACCAAGGGTACATACATGATATATATCATTCTTCTTGATTCATAACAGCACCTATCTTCACTCCACTCCACTTTCTTAGTAATTATCCGAATAACAACTTCTGGGTGGCAATGTTCAATCTAATACAAACTCAGAATACTACAGCACAGGACCAAAGTAGGATTGGAATGTAGGAGAATGTTTCAAGACTTTGTCATTCAGACACAAAGCATAAAATTGATTTATTGGTGAAAACATGAACTACTATTCTTTATATATGTTTTAGGTTTTTAAGTTTCCTAGCTGTGGAAGAGGTTAGCTCTGTGTTTGTGGATGATGTAGTAAAAACACCCTTTGGAGTATGAGGGAAGTTGTTTTGATCAGCAAATATACAAAACAAGAAATGAGACAAGTGACAGCGATGTGTGTGTTCCATTCTTGACACAATGAACTCCAGTAAATTCATTGATATACATGTTTTTGAATACGAATCAATAGTCCTTCATAACTCACTTAACACTGACATATTTAGACTTCATCCAACCTGATTGTGATACATGCCCGCAACAACCTCAGTTACACTGCCATGAAAACATGTTAGTTGATGCAAACATAAACAGACCTGACACTTCATTCCATGACCCAAACTTAAGATATCAGTAATGACCTCTGCAAGAGTCACCAAATAATGTAAAATTTATAATTCACGCAAAAACATGATGGATTTTCCTTCAGGAATCAGTTGACATAGCAAACATGCAATTTACTGCAATCAATTTGTAGGTAAGTGCCAATTGGATATTTGAATACTGTCACTAAATATGGAATAGAAGATATAGTTATTCAAAATATTCAAGCAGTTAGTGGTATCACATTAATCTTCTACTTTTTCGTTTGCTCTCCACATATTTGAACAAATTGCAATCCAGTTTAAGATAATATAGTGAATGACTGAAGTAAACATCCCTTTAAATTAATTTTACTGGACAGAAGATTTTTCAACAAACACCATTAACTGACTGTCCAATTCCAGTAAGTTCACTGCCACACATAAGTGCAAGCACACCGTAACATATGGTCAAGTGGTCAGCCTGAAATGTCTTCACATACACGATTTGAAAACTGTTGTCTTCCCTGACTAATGCCTAAAATGTTCTCTATTCAATGAATATGAGTCCAGAGACAAGATAAATATTTGTTTATGGAGAAGATGGGGATGTTCAATGGCATTCCTGTGATAAAAGAAGGTCAGCTATCTGAGAACTGATGTAACATTCAGGCTGAACATACTGAACAAACAATGTAAACAAGCTAGAATGCCAACACACACAATCAGCTTCAAGTTACACAAGACAGACAGGGGTTGGAGTGGACATGTATGATATAGTGATATCATCCTGTGTATAAAGGGGAATAGCTACGAATTGGAAAAGTGAAACTCAATTTACATTTGACGATGAGTTCAGGGTTTCAATATAATAAAGGATGGTAAGATAGCCCATTAAAATTAACTAACAGTAAAAAATCTGACAATGACTGGCCCAGTGGACTGATGATATCTGCATAAAACAGGGTCGGTTTCCCTTGACCAATTTTACGTACAGCCCTTTACATTTTTATTGTCAGTGTATTTATTCCTTGTGTGCTGCGGGTCTAACTTTGAGCTTGGGCATAGCTAAGGAGAAGATGAAAAATGTCTTATATCGGGTATGAACCAAAGTTACCATGTTTAGATACCCCAACAGAACCACCTAACATCAGAATCCAAAAGGAAAGAGGCCCTTTTAAGGTCTTTGTGGTACCACTACAGTCTACAGCAGGTCACAGGAAAAGTTAAATCATCTGCTCTGATTAAAGAACAAATAACAAGAGCCTGGGATCTGACCTTTGTCAATGTTGTATTTCAAGCTGAAAGAAATTTACTAGTTGTTAAATTTGAATAATCAGGGAGCTAGTGTGAGTAAGGGTTGCATTTTCCCCATAGAGAGCAATGAAACAGGCACCTAGACCATGTCCAGTGGAAGAGGGAAGCATGATGAGATGGCCACCTGGAAGCTATGAAACCAGTATGAAAGGAGACTGAAAAGCATCTCTGACAAGTGAAAATGACCATCCAGTCTAATAATGAACTTGAAGTGTGTAACAACTAATTATCCAAGTCTGTAGAGAGAAATATGCAAACAAGTCCGAATGGCCTGCCCTAAAGAACAAGCCTGAATGACATGTCACATGCTGAATCAAAGGCTCTGACAAAGCTGTCTGATCTTGTGGACAAGTCAGGTTTTCTGACACATGCAGGGAGAACACACTCTCCAGATTTGTTCTTGTCACTGAAGTGTGGTTCAAATTTGTCCATCAACTGACCTGGGGGCAACTAGACCCATGTTCTATGGGCCAAAAAATCTTCCTGGTGTTTCTTGTGCTGATTCTTGTCACTCACTAAATACAATAAGTAAACCATACAGAAATTGCAAAAATAGAGGTTCACTCAGTAACAAGTAAAAAATATTCTTGGTACAATGAAGTTGATGATGAATTGTGTAACTATGGTCCTTGAACTTGAAGTTCAATGTTTCAAACAGCACACTAGGTTGAAAGTGAGTGACAAGCACATCCTTCTCAGAAATGTATCCTTCCACAAACTTTGGAGATTATATTTTGAGATACTTCCTCAATAATCAAGTGTCATCATCCTCAGTCAAGAAAAGGCTGTATATGTCAAATTCAGGATATGAAGGGTCACTGGGCAGATGTTGTGGCGAGTGGTCAACGTATTTGACCATTTGACGGTTACCAGATATACCTATGTCAAAGAGAACAATAGGCAAAGCACCACACAATGCCTGTCCTCCAGGCTAGGGTATGACTGCCCAATTGGTGGTAGTGTTAAGTCCCTTCAATTTCACAGCTACTGGTCTTTTAGTTCATAGAAATTTGCTTAACCCCTTACATTGTTATGCTGTCCTCACCAGTCTAATGATTTAACTGAAGTGAAGGAAGGACATGTGTTAACCCTTTACGCTGTGTCACTGATACTATCATTGCGACAATGCTCTTTAATCCACATTCACTATGGAAACAAACTGTGGAAAAGTTCTATAATCCGCACTACTCTGTAATTTACTTTGATTTAATAGTCTTGTTTGGTGTTAGATTTCAATACAACCTTGATAATTTTGAAATCAATCTCAAATCTGATAACCATACCCTTGCTTTATTAAAACTTTCTCAAGTTCCACAGAACATTTTTAATGCATCAAACAAAGTGTCCCACCTGCTGAATGTAAACATTGAGATATTCAGAAAAGATCTGTCAATGGTGAATAACACTGTACAAAAATATCTATGGTATTTCAGCATTCTTTTCTAACAGCAACTTCAAGGGGAAACAACTAATTACAGCATAACAAAAACTGATAATTAATCTTTTTCTGTAAGTAACGTCAGAGAATACACAAACATTTTAACCTAGATGAAAGAATGATAATAATGCAAATCCAGTGGATGCTTGGATTGTTTTTGAATTACAGGTGCAATTAATAAATATTCATCTTCTTTCACCGTTATGACAAGCCTGATTGTTCAGAATTGTGAGAAACAGAATTTTTTTCTAGCTTCGGCAAAAAATTGAAATCACTGATATATTTGTCATCAACGTTACATGAAACATCCATGAATAAAAATCAAATTTCCCTTCAGAGATAGTTTCAACAAAAAGAATAAAACTTTGAATTGCTAATAAATGGTCGTATTGAGCAAAGAGTCCCTTAAAAAGCACTCATAATTCAAGCTAGCTGTCTATACGACTGCTGAAGAGGAACTGCGGTCCCTACTTGGGAGCTAATGAAAACATCGGGCCATTTGTATGCCTTGTTTGTCAGCCACAAACTCAATTTGAACATTTTCCACAACTCTCTTATCTTGGGCCTCGAATGCAATTGATTTGCCATCAAAACGCTGAACAAATTTCAATAAATATTTGAGGGCAAAAATTATCAAAGGCGATTTTCCCCTTAAAGCTGAAGAATCCCTAGCCAAAACGTACATAATGCAAATTTAAATGCCCGTTGCTAGGTTACCAATGTCATCATTAGAAAGCCCAATGCAATGAAGTTTTAATACATCAAGGGTGAGTGGCATAAACTTCTACTGACCTTTCATCCCCCAGCCGACATAAAGCAGTTGTGACTGCCCCATCAATCTAATAAACAATTGTTCCAGCTAACTAACGAATCACTGTTTCATTTAGGATGGTTGGAAGGATAGTTCAAAGGTAGTCAGTTTCAAATTTAAAGGCGATTTTTTTCCCAATCAATCAAAACGCAGATATAGTTCTACATAATTTGGCATTCTAATCTTCTCCAGCCCCGTCAAGCTCCTTGAATTCCATTTTAATCCTCTTTCGATAAATTGCGCTGCCATATCTTAAGATGATGGATACACTTGTGACATTGTTTGAGAATCTCACGTTTAATTTCCTAAACTCATGTAATGAAAGCAGGCGATATTATACCGAGACACGTTATCAGAATGTAGTTGTCGAATCAGATCTTAGGAGGCAACATCAAGCTAGCAGCTGATGCGTTTCCTATTTGGACAAATAGTTGTTTTTGAATGCCTGCAAGTTTCAACAGCATTAATGAGCACAGTATTGATGAAGTACAATTCTGACATACAGAGATTGGAGGTCATTCCCATTTTCAGCTTCATGTTGTCCATATTTCTCTCAGCCATAGGGACATTAAAAAGAGCATTACAATCATTATCAAGACCCATTTTTGTTCTTCTCCAGTAGACTGAAAAGAAACTACTCACGGTTCATAGGCAGGAAAATTTAAACAGAGTGGTTATGTCCCCATGCAAAAATCTGTACATGGTCTCAAATGAAAATGTCTTTACCAACAGCTAAACCCAGATGAATAGCTAAAAAGGTTATAATCTCACACATGGACATGTGGAAAAGTGATAAATGGCATCTCATAAATGAATATGTGTGTAAACTGATAAATCATATGTCATAAATGGATTGTGTGTAAACTGATAAATCATATGTCATAAATGGATTGTGTATAAACTGATAAATCATATGTCATAAATGGATTGTGTGTAAACTGATAAATCATATGTCATAAATGGATTGTGCGTAAACTGATAAATCATGTCATATATGGATTGTGTGTAGTGATAAATCACATAAACGGATCAGTGAACAAATGGATATGTGTGTAAAGTGACAAATAACATCACCTACATGGATATGTGTGTAAAGTGACAAATAACATCACCTACATGGATATGTGTGTAAAGTGACAAATATCACCTTCATGGATATGTGTATAAAGTGACAAATAACATCACCTACATGGATATGTGTGTAAAGTGATTAATCACATCACATAGACAGATATGTGAACACATGGGTATGTGTGTAAAAGTAATAAATCACATCACATAGACAGATATGTGAACACATGGGTATGTGTGTAAAGTGATAGATCACATCACATAGACAGATATGTGAATACAAGGGTATGTGTGTAAAGTGATTAATCACATCACATAGACAGATTTGTGAACACATGGATATGTGTGTAAAGTGATAGATCACATCACATAGACAGATATGTGAATACATGTGTATGTGTGTAAAGTGATTAATCACATCACATAGACAGATATGTGAACACATGGGTATGTGTGTAAAAGTAATAAATCACATCACATAGACAGATATGTGAACACATGGGTGTGTGTGTAAAGTGATGAATCACATCACATAGACAGATATGTGAACACAAGGGTATGTGTGTAAAGTGATGACTCACATCACATAAATGGATATGTGAATACATGGATATGTGTGTAAAGTAATATATCACATCAAATTAATGGATATGTGTATACAAGTGACAAATCATACCTCTTTGAGGATATGTGTAAGAGTTACAGATAACATGATTATTAGCACATATAGGCATACTACCACGATAGAACCAGTATACATACAGGAGTTATGCAAGAGTACCTGACAAAGGGAGATAACTTACACCTTAACTTCAAAATATGTGTTACAGACCTGGAACAAAAGCATCAGTGATTGGATGCATTTTTTTTACCTAGATGATGTTACAAAAAATGACAAAATATTGACTATGTGACATTATCATCTGCTTACATGACTCTTTCCCAAACCCAGAGCCAGTGGAAATGTTGCAGCTGTAGATCATAACTGGCAGACAAAGCCAAGACCTCATGGTCTCTGGATGGTAACGGGAGCAGGGTTAGAGTCATCCACAATTCCCATGGCCACTTGACTTTGGCTGGATCCTTGTTGCTTAGAATCGGATGAACAAGAGAATCAGGTTGTTGCTGCGAATGGTCTGAGCGACGAAAAGCACTTTTGAGGCGATGAACTTCTTCCTGACCTGTTAACTTAAAGAGGAATCCTGGTTTTGGGCATACAGCTAAGGCAAAAATGAAGACCCAGCAATATTGATGGTGGAGACCAAAAAGCATTTAGACATATCTTGCCAATAATAGTTCTCAGCTGGTCGTTAAAGATCTTGGTGGCTGTGATAGGTTGTGACATCATCATCTTTGTATGATTTGATGCAGCCTTCAAACACACTTATGGCATCGAGGTGGCTGTGGATGACACCCACCAAATTATGGGGATCATTAAAGGTGTGTCTGGATGAGTGTCCTCATAGGATGTTTGTGCTGTAGAACGACGACCACTAGCCACAAACCAGTTAATAGAAGCATCAATATACATGTATTACCTATTGGACATAGACAGACCAATTTGATATGAAGAATTTAAAATAAGAATTCTTCATAAATGTAAAGGAACCTTCATCTGAAACTGTGGATCCAATAACAGTTAGCAATATGTCTGATACAACTTTCTCTTCAAACTTTGTTCACAAAATCTGTCATCATGCTTTTTCGATAATCTTCTTGGTATAACATGGCTATGGAAGGGTATGGCAGCATATGGCAAGATATGACAGGGGGGTAGCAGCCCACATACTCCAACAATTGAGGGTGGATGGGCTGTCTTGTCCATATGGGGGTAGAAGTGAGGATAAGAGCAATCCATATTCCCACCACAGGGATACATCACCCAGGGGATGTTCTTCCTCATAGCCTTTCTTTGAGTCCATGGGGAGGTAAGAAACCCTGGAATTGTGCTGATGTGCAATCAGTAAGATCCATGTGATCTCTGAGTGGGATGTCACCCATCAGTGGCCATGATTCAGGAAGGATGTTTACACGAGGGGGACGTTGTGACGAAAACTTAAGTACGATACCCATACGGTTATTACGATCAGTCGTGAATCCATAACTTGTATCATCCTGATGAAATCGACATCACTGCTATCATCCAGAGATCATACAGCCATGAGAACAGTGAACACAAGAACATCTAGGCAATCCTGTTAAGGATGAAGAGCCCATGTGAGAAGACTGGCAACCAGGAGGAACCCTTAACTGCAGACAAATAGTCCATGAAGTCCATGTGGGAGTGCTCCAGGACTTGTGTTTGACGAACTGGCATCTGAATGAAAATGTTCTAACAGATGCTTTGCAGGTCCTTGCGGAGACTATGACAGGCAAGTATCCGATGGAATTCTCAACATGTCAGGGACACCATCCATGGCAAACATCCATAGCATAAGTAGAACAAGTGGTGCATACAAAATTTGTATTGTTGAATAAATTATTGCTTCTTAGAACCATACCCTTTATTCTGCACAAATCCATGTCTACCATATCAACACATGAAATCAGGTACTCAAATACAGGTTGGGTTGTGAAGGGCCCCAACTATCAATACGTCATACTTCCCCCACTCATCACATAATGGGACTCTATATTATAGATATTCAAAGACTCGTATGAAATATGATGTGTCATGATTCCATCCCATATTAAAAGCTTTAGACAGAATATTTGCACCTCCTAACTGACCTATTTTAATGAAGATATAAGTATAATGTAATGAGCAACAGATCAGGGTATATGAACAAACACAATCATCGCATGATTTAAGAAGATCCAATGATACAAAAATGTCCATGTTTTGCCTGTTACATCTATGAAATCTGTTTCAGCAGATATTTGATGGCTTATTATTCACTGGCATTGACATTTTAAATTCATATGATCAAACTGAGATTTTGAAAAATGATGTACCTGTGTGGAGAGTAAATCAGGTCCAGTATTGTCTGTTTTAGATGAACATGACAAATGAATGGTACACAGTACAAGGAGACATAAATAGATGGACAAGACCTGTATGTTACAAGACCGATACGTCATGGTAGATGGACACTGTGGCAGCTCTTCACTGATCATCACGAGGTCAAACCTGGCTAGCTACTCAAAATTGGGAACTACATTCAGGAAAGCATTTTCACATCAGCAGTCAGTCATAAAGAAAGCATTCTTGAGGACAGTGTATACCATGCAAATTATACACAAAGTAACATCAAAGCTGAAAATGCTTAAAATCTGCTGCTGTTGGATCCCTTGACATCTGTTTCTATTCTGAAGAACAATCCGAGACAAGCAAGATGCCTCCAAACTCAGCATGATTCATTAAGCACAAGGCAACAACAATCACAGAAATGCGCATCTATACAAAATTATCAAAATAGCCATTCAATAACTAACAATCATGAAACTGTTAAAACTGGATTCTGACTGAAAATATTTAAGGTTAAATTTCATCATAAAGACCTAGTGGAAAATATAATAATAATTATTTTAACATCATCACCATGATCTCTAGCATAATTCGATACTTCAGTACATCACTGATCAAAGTATTGGCATGCTCTGTCTGATGATGCAATAAAGTCATGAATTCCCCTTAGAAATGTAGCCCATACAATTCTTTACAGTGGGATGAAAGTCTCTTCTTTCATTTAATCATTCCAGAGTTAGAAGACACTGAGACAATCTACATAACTGAATCGCGATGTATACCTATGAAAGTATGCAGGGGTCATCGGAGGTCCCCAAACCAATGGTACCATAAAAGCGTTAAGTACGTTCAAGATGGATCCCAAAACAACATTAAAAACATTTTGTTGTTATTGCAGCTGACAAATGACAGTAATTCCTGCATTATTCATGTTGATCTTAGATCACTAACTACAACTAGACTGTAAGTAATTAATATGAATTATGTATGGTGTATAATGTACTATATTAAGTAAAATTACAATGTTTATAGGCCATTAACTATAAGATGCAAGGATTCAGATTGTGCAGTGTATTTGTAACTTGCAGGTTTCAGCAGGTGCACAGTAGCTTTAAGGTATATGTCTTTGAGTATACTGATTTGTAGCAGCATCAAGAGCATAAACACTAAAAGTCAACAATGCAAGAGCTTTCCTTAACTATGTTATGTGAAGAAAACAGATGAGATGAATAGTGAAGCAAGAAAATTACACTTACCTAAGCAGACCCAAACATGGCTGATGAGGAGAGTAGCTTGATGTTTTGAGACTTGTAGTGTTACCTACAACAGCCTGAAAACACAACAGGTTCAGTGTAAGAAAACGAGTGGTTGGAAACATGCACATACCTTTACATAGTCCTATAGTCAGAGTGAACTTACTAACCAGTGCAGAGAACCAGTCAAACCACAGCTGCAGGTCAAACTAACACGAAGGTCATTCAAAGACAATATGTAAATAATGAACAATAGCTATGATTGTTAACAGTTTTAAGAATACTACTTTATTGCCATAAACCCTGTACTTTGGCTGTAATCACACTTAACCATACTTTCAAATTTTCAGTAGAACTAGTCATCTCTATAGTGGTACATCAGCTAACAGCTCTTCTGTGTGCAAAGGTGGGAAAATGTCACTTTCGTCCAACTTCCACCCACTAAAGACAACAGGTGTTACAATAGAGGAAATATTCTTAGAATTATTAACAATGATAACTATTGTTTTGATCATTCTTTACTACACTTAAATACTTCTTAAGACTCCTCTACATCTATTACATCACTGCACAAATAGCTACAGTGAAAAGCAAGTTCTGCCTCTCGTACACTCCCAGTATAGTTGACAGTAAATCCTCATTATACCCTCTTTAAGACTGGTTCAGGTCAATATCTAATACATTCACTTGAAGTATCTTTATATTCTCATAATGATTGTCTTCAAACCATTCAAAGACATTGTTTTACTAATCAAAACTCATTGGGACCTCACTTCTTGTCTTTCTCAAAACAATTTTAAAATCATTTCCTCACTTTGATGAGCATTTCTGTTTGTAACCGATGACAACACTTCCGGTTCATGATGTCACTAATGACATCACTTTCTGTTGTTACAAGGTCATACCTGGTCTCATTTCTTTTCTGACTGGGAGGGAACTTTCGGTCTTCCTGTTATCAAATTCAAACTGATCGCTACAAGTAGTTCCTCACAATTTGTTTCACTCAGAAACTCATGGTCAAAGGTGTACAGTCTTCGGAAGCTGCAGGTGAAACTCCTTATCTTTTTCGGATTTGTCTTTCATGATATGAACCATCTTTTAGACAAGATCAGTTGAGTTCAGTAGCAGCCAGATAGAATGTCAGGGTACATATTGCACATATGAATGGTCATAATGATCTACCTTGGGTCTCAGTACAGGTATAGTCAAATTCTTGTGACCCAAAGGGCCAATAGTTAAAGGATTGGCTCATGGCCACAAGGTCAGTAGACTTCCATCTTTATTATGAGTGAGGCTCTAGAAGTCTAAGGCATGCAGTGATCATGCTCTTGCAATGGGCATGCCTTGGGCATCTCCTGACCCACTTCATCTACTCCACTGGACAAACCTGTCACATCTGTTGTCATAAATGAGGGAGGATGACAGTCTCCAAGATCCAGCAATAGCTGAGGAGGTAAATACAACCTGGATGGTTTAATTTTCTGCAAGATAATTTCCAGGCTGTGAGATTAAGACTGGAGGATTTGCATAAAACATGTCGAATCTGGGATGACGCAGAAGATCTCATCATATCAGAAGTTGGCAAGGATCTTCCATCAGTAGAAACGAGTCTCGGATACCATAGTCTGTTTGACCAGATTGGAGCAATCAGAATAATGACACAATCTGTTTGCTCTAATATTCTAAATGTCAAAGTGAGAACATGGAGAAAAGACATAAGCGAAGAGGCCTGTCCAGTCAGATAGTGTACATGACTGACATAAATGTGAAGATGATGATTTTGTGAAGTCACAACCATGTCCAGGTGAAGAGTGTCCCACCACAACGTAATCCAGGCCAGGATCCATGTCCAGGCGTGAAGTCCATTCTGGAAACACAATCTTCCCTCACAATCTGCTCATATACTTAACTTTTTTGGAATAGGTCTCAATTCCACCTGGCAGTAGCAGGAATCTGTCAACGTACATAGCAGAAAAACTTCCATTGTTAGAGAAGGAGGACTTCTCTTGTTTCCCGAAAATATTGGGAATGCAGTGCAGAGAACTAGGGATCTTCATGACATGAGCTCCAAGAGTCAACCAGAGAAGGTATGGATTTAAGGCAAGTGGTAAAGATATTAGACTGGCCAAAGAATGATCTTGATAAGCATTGATCCAGGATTGTACATGGCTCAACTATAACCTGTCTCTGTATGTCTTTGACCAAAAAGATGTTAACATGCTGAGTAAGAACATCCCAACTGAACCAAATGTTACGTTGGAATCAGTGCCTTGTTGATCATTAGGGGAGTTGAGGTAAAGCAATCCCAAAGAGGACATTGAACAGAAAGAGGACTCAAGACCCCATGTATATGATGTCCTTTATGAGCCTAAGTTCCCATTTGGATGGATGAATGAGGAATCCAAGACAAGTCATGAGTTGGGTCAAGAAAATCTACTCATCCAAATACCCAGTTGGAGATGGGAAAAACTGATAACTAATGCTATTTCCTGGTAAACAGCCATGGTGCCATGGAGATTCCAAATGGAAGTATTCAGAACTCATAGTGGTGACCATTCACTACAAAGGTGAAATATCTCTGCAGTGAATCAGTTCATGAAGGTAAGCATCCCAGACATCAATGCTGAATTTCCTTACCTGAGAGTCCATTATAACCACCAGACAGATACCATCTGGATTTTTGTTTTAGAGAAGGTAGTAGGAAGAATTTGTAGAGGACCTTAATGTACATGAGTATCCTCATGTTGTCACTGTAATGGAGTTGATAGCCTTTTTCAAGCCTTTCCCAAATAGCCCAAGTTCAGCTATCTTTGTGCCTTCCAAGTGGAATCTGTGAACAAAAGGTTGTAAGACTGTCTGCAGGTAGCAATCACGGGGATCCCCATCAGACTCCTGTCTTGAATTGACACCAACTGGATCCCCGCTGCTTAGACTTGGACAAATGAAGGAGTTGATGTTGTTTGAAAGACATCTTTCTCAAGGGAATGCAGTTCTTTGAGGCTGGTTCATGTAAAGAGGAATCCTCAGATTGGTTCTTGGCCAGCTGTACTGCTGACCCATTTCAGCATCTCTACCTTCTAGCTGGTTGAGGATGACACATCGGCAGAACTGTCAGGAGGCAGAAGGTTGGCATGACTCTGCCTGTAACTGTCCTCCATGTAGCCTCTTGGCCTTCTTCTGAGCCTGATCTGTATCAACATCTCTACCTTCCTCTGGCTGGTTGACAATAATATGTCCGGAATAGTGTATGAAGGCCTTACGGCTGTGGTGTTGGTAGAAGACAGATAGGCATGGCTGTCTGTAACTGACCGCTTCTTGACCGGAACAGTCTTCTATACCTATCCATTGAGTACACACTTAGGCATGCTAACTTGAATGTTGGTCACAGGGTCAGGCGACAATGGCATCTAGGGGTTAGTAGGTTCATGAGTGAGCTGGAAGAGTCTTCTGCGTTTATCTGTTGAGTACAGTCACTAAGAGCTGCTAATGTGAATGTTTGTTGCAGTGTCAGGTGACAATGTCTAACCAGGGGCTAGTAGGCTGAGATGTGGGTTGAAACACTGGGAAGCCATTTTCTACATCTGGAAGAGCTGGGGATGTCATAAAAGAGTTCAAAACAAACACTACCATATACTCAGTTAAATGTGCCCTTATAAACAGTAAAATAAACTACTTCTAGTAGTATGTCTATTGAACTATTTATCTGAAAATAACTACAATAAACTTGAATCAGTGTGTCTACATAACCAGGTGCTTGAGGGGAGAAGCTACATAGGCAATGTTAACTCATGCACACAAGGGAAAGAAGTGAGGTTTTCCAGCTCTTGCGCAGGGGAGAGCTGTAAGCTGATTGTGCTAGTTACTAGTTAGGTATGGTTGACCTTGAAGAAGGTTTTTGTTGAAAATCTGAAATTTGGGTTTTTAGTATTACTGCAGTCAAAATACAGATTAATGGTAATGATGCATTTTGAGGCATCAATATTCGTAACAATAATTTGTTTTGCCTTCCCATCCAAAAGCATTGACAACAGTTTTTGAAACCTGGCAAATGAAACAGAATACGAAATTTACACTCCAGGTACTTAATTCCAAGTAAGAAAACAGTGACGCTTATCCCAGTAAACTATCCATATTCAGACATGCCAATTTCATATCGATTTCGGTGAGATATACATGTCGATTAATTCAGAAATGAAATTTAACCAGCAAACACATTCAACAGACCAAAGCAACTGCATTTATGAGAACTGCCAGGTTCTAGCTAACAGTGCCATATGTATGTTACATGCTAACTTTGATGTCTCATTTGACGCTGACTGCACATCAAGGTTTCATAACTGGTTCTGTTTTTACCTTGTACATTGAGCATGTGTATTCATTTCCTGATAAAATTCATTTTAACAGCAGCACAAAGCACCTTGCACAATATCACACACTAGTAATTGGGGTTTGACCTTGGCCTAATTTCCATGTCTAACTTGTGCAAGTTGCTAACTTTCTTCAATCTCAATTTGAATTTCTTCCAGACAATTTGAGTCATTTTCATGCCAGAATTTCATTAAGCTATCAAAGAGTGAGCTACATTGAAAACATAGGGAATTTCATAAGCGGATCTTTATGCTGAGGACACGCTTTTGACCTTTGAAAATAAGTGCAGGCGACAACCAATATTTTGATATCCTGCCTCCTATATTGAATCTTGCCAGTTTAATAGGCACTCCCGACAGAGACCTCTTCTACAGCATAGGAGTCTTATGTCAGATTATTCTTGTGGACACTTTTTCACTAGTTACCAATATTGTCGCTTTAAAACATGTAATTGAATTTGAGCCCAGACAAATCCAGTTTAATTTGGCTAGCAGGCGAGGAAATCCCGGTAAGAGCTTCAACATACAGCTGATATTTCTGAGACAAACCATATTTTGTCTGCGCAAATCCGGATAGAAAAACCTATAATTGAATTTATACCAGACCAGTTTTTCACTCTTTGCCAGTGGTAGGTGACGTCTGCTATACAAGGGATATCTTACAAAAGGCATTTAAACCTCAAACAGTGTGGTTTAACCCCAGAAAAATG